CCCATATCCAGAGGCGCAGGACAGACAGACAGACCCATGCCCAGCGATATGGGACATACAGACAGGGCCGTGCTCAGAGGCGCAGGACAGACAGACAGCCCCGCACCCCCGGACCCAGGACACACAGACAGCCCCCCCTCAGCCCGGCGCTGCTCTCCATCCATCCCCTAAAATCCCACAGCCGCCCCCTCCCGGACCCCCGGCCCGCTTCCCCCCCGTCTCCCCCATCCCCGCGCGCAGCCCCGCATTCCTCCGTTTCGGCTCCGGTTCTCCCGGCAACCGCTCCGGGTTGGCCCCCAAATCCTCGGGCGGCGCAGCGCCGGGGGGACGCGGGTTTCACCCAAGCCGAAGCCGGGCGGCGGCGGAACAATGGCGGACAAAGGCGGAACCGCCGGGGGCTGCCGACGGAGCTCGCGGCTCCCGGTGAGGGGCGGGGGGCGTTTAATGAATTGTCCGTCATCCCTTTCAGCGCCGCTCGGCCGGACGGGATTAATTTGGGGAGCCGCGGTGGGGTGGGAGCCGCTAAGCCTGGATTTATTACTTGGCCATTGTAACTAATTGAGGTCATTATCCGCGGCTCCCGGCCCGCCGGCGGGGCGGCATTCAGGGCGCGCAGCCGCAGCGCCGCTGGGTGGACGGGGGGCGGGGGGTGGGATGGGGAGCGGCTGTGGGATGGGGCACCAATGTGGGATGGGGCATTATGGGATGGGGCACCGACTATAGGATGGGGCACCGACTATAGGATATGGCATTATGGGATGGAGCACCAACTATGGGATGGGGCACCAATGTGGGATGGGGCACCAATGTGGGATATGGCATTATGGGATGAGGAACAATGGGATATGGCACTATAGGATATGGCACTATGGGATGGAGCACCAACTATGGGATGGGGCGCCATGGGATGGGGAACTATGGGATGGGGCACCAACTATGGGATATGGCATTATGGGATGGGGCACCGACTAAGGATGGGGCACCAACTGTGGGATGGGGACCGGCTGCGGGATGGGGCACCAATGTGGGATATGGCATTATGGGATGGAGCACCAACTATGGGATGGGGCGCCAACTATGGGATGGGGAACTATAGGATATGGCACTATGGGATGGGGACCGACTGTGGGATGGGGCACCAACTATGGGATGGGGCACCATGGGATGGGGCACCAAATGTGGGATATGGCATTATGGGATGGAGCACCAACTGTGGGATGGGGCACCGACTGTGGGATGGGGCACTATAGGATATGGCACCATGGGATGGGAAACTATGGGATGGGGAACTATGGGATGGGGCACCAACTATGGGATGGGGCACTATGGGATATGGCACCATGAGATGGGGCATTATGGGATGGGGCACCAACTATGGGATATGGCACTATGGGATAGGGCACTATGGGATGGGGCACCAACTGTGGGATGGGGCGCTGAGTGTGGGATATGTCACTATAGGATATGGCCCTATGGGATGAGGAACTATGGGATGAGGCATTGTGAGATGGGGAACCGACTGTGGGATGGGGCACCAACTATGGGATATGGCATTATGGGATGGGACATCATGTGATGGGGCACCAACTATGGGATGGGGCACCATGGGATGAGAAACAATGGGATATGGCACTATAGGATATGGCACTATGGGATGGGGCACCAACTGTGGGATATGGCACTATGGGATGGGGCATTATGGGATGGGGCACCAACTATGAGATATGGCAAGTATGGGATCAGGCATTATGGGATGGGGCACCAACTATGGGATATGGCCCTATGGGATGGGGAACTATGGGATATGGCACTATGGGATGGGGAGCTGTGGGATGGGGCGTTATGGAATGGGGAACTATGGGATGGGGTATTATGGGATGGGGCGCTATGGGATGGGGAACGGATATACGGCGCTACGGGACCGGTTCCACATCCCGCACGGAACTGCGTGAGATGGCACCGGGATTTGGGATCCGGCACCCCGCTGACCCCCCCCCGCCTCCCCCGTGTCCCCCCGGTGTCACCGGAGGAGCGGCGACATCTGCTGGCGGCGGAGGGGCACCGGGGGGTGGGGGGGGCAGGAGGGGGCTTCTCCGTGCCGAACCGCGCCGAACCAAACCGTGCAGCAGCGCAGCTCCGGGTCGGACCCCCCCGTCACACCGGACCCCCCCCCCACGGCTCCGCGCCACGCGGGGGCTGCGGGTGACGTGGCCGGGGACCCCCCCCCAGCCCCCCCCCA